CACTCTTTCTGTAAGAGTGACTGGAACATCAAGGTCAGCAACATGTTTAAGTGGTTCCAGGAGGAAAATGTTTCCCCCTAAAATTTTTACTTTTCTGTAATAATGGTTTAAATTTTCCAAAAAACTAACAGGGGAGCTATGTAAATTCCTCCTAAACATGAAAGAAAAATCAACCTCATGGATATTAGAGGGGGGTGGGGGGAAGTCTCCTGTATGCCATGCTGATCTGATACAGAGAATATTTATACTCAACAAAAACTGGGTATTTTTTCTCCTTTAACTTAAGTTCCTAGGAAGCAAGTACAGATTAGATAAAAACACTCAAATTAAACTATAAAATTCAATGTAATCCAAGGCAACTATTTACCTTCATGGGTTGAGCTAAAAATCCTGTGGGCTGACTTAAATCATTCGTAGGCAAGAAACCAGGCACATTGCGTGCAAATTCTTCATAAACAGCCAACTGCTTTGGGTCCACACCACCAACCTTGGAGAAGAAAACCTAGTTTGATAGGATCCTCACCATAATTAAAGGAAATTTTTTTGCAAGTGGCAAGTTTGCATGGAAGCAAGCACAGGAGTACAGTATGTAATAGCATGACTGAGTATGCATGTGCGCGAACACACACACAGTTTCCCATTTCCCAGAATCCTGTCAGTCACCCTCATTTATAAACTTAAGTTTTTCCACTGGAACATGCCTCAAATAGGACCACACCACTGCCAATTTTCCAATGGAGCTGGTTTTAAAAGATAATATTTTTCACCATCTTCTTGTCACTAATAAACAACTAGCAATAAAAACCAAGTACCCAAAAGGAAGACCAAGTTGGGACCTATAAAAACTAACAGGGGGCACACATCTAAGCTATGCCTATACCTTCTCCACAGGTTCATTCCCTTTAAGTAAAATTCTACTGAGGTGAGATACTGTCTCTAAAACCCTAACCCTAATCGGTGAAGAGTTTAAGCAACAAGAACAGAAAGAAAACAAAGGGAGAGACAGAGCCCCGGGTTCTCACTTTCAGTCTTATTTGTTCTGGCATCCGCTCAGCTTGGTATGTTAACACAACAGGATCACAGTACCTGCGCCCTTCTTGCCTAGCATGTTTTCTCAGCTCAAATTCCTGCAAATAAAACAAAGTCACTGAGGTTCTTGTTATGAGAAACTTTCTTAAACATAAAAAAAATAAACCCTTAAGAGGCAAATGCTAAACACTTACAGTTGCTAATCTCTTGTCCATCTCAGGGCCTGCTTTTTCCACTGCAGTCTTCTGAATAAAACAGCAAGCTAATTCACAATTGTCCTGAGCTAACTGAGCAGCTGCCTGATCCATCATTTCCCTTTGTTGTGGGGATGCAGTCTATTGGGAGAAGAAATGAAAGAAAAAGATTTCAAGTTTTCTGTGGACAAGACAGAGAGGGTGATAGGAAATTCAGTGCTTAGACATGTGAATTTAAAAGTTCTCACTTTACTTATGACCCATTAGCTATGAGCATGAAATAGTCTAACACTCCTCTTCAGCTATAAGATGAAAATACCACTCTCACCCAAAACATCTTACCAGGTTGCTGTGACGGTGGTAAAAAATATGAAAACAGAAAAGCAGTAAACAAAAGCAGTACAACCATAACATCTAAGACCCAAAGTTAATAACTAAGTTATCTGTGCTGTATGTAGGTACATACAACATTACTTTAAATATTTTGTGCTGTTCTACTCCAAGTGCTTTAATTTAAATTCTTCACGGTAAACTGAATCAAGTTAACTTATGCATTTTTTTAAATAAATTTTATTGATTTTTTACAGAGAGGAAGGGAGAGAGACAGAGAGTCAGAAACATCGATAGAGAGTTAAAACATCAATCAGCTGCCACCTGCACATCTCCCACTGGGGATGTGCCCGCAACCAAGGCACATGCCCTTGACCAGAATCGAACCTGGGACCCTTCAGTCCGTAGGCCGACGCTTTATCCACTGAGCCAAACCGGTTTCGGCAACTTATGCATTTAAAAAGACCTTTTAATTATTTAAAGAATAAATATTTGGGTATCTACTATCTGCCAAACATTGTACTTAAGATACAGTAGTGAACAAAAAGACACAATGCTTCACCTAACAGAACTTAATCTATGAGAAAGGAAGACATAAAATAAATATGGTGACGCCGAAACCGGTTTGGCTCAGTGGATAGAGCGTCGGCCTGCGGACTGAAAGGTCCCAGGTTCGATTCTGGTCAAGGGCATGTGCCTTGGTTGCGGGCACATCCCCAGTGGGAGATGTGCAGGTGGCAGCTGATTGATGTTTTAACTCTCTATCGATGTTTCTGACTCTCTGTCTCTCTCCCTTCCTCTCTGTAAAAAATCAATAAAATATATTTAAAAAAAATTTAAAAAAAATAAATAAATATGGTGACTATTAGAATAAGTACAAATGCAAAGAAAAGAAACTCAGACAAGCAACAATCAGTTTTGTACTACAGCACAGAAATAATCAACTTACACGAAGGGCTGAGGCAAAACTGTTTTTCAGGTTGGTGGATATGCTCATGAGCAAAGGTTCCCTGCAGGTAATCATAGCCATTCCAGCTGTCAAGTTACGCATCATGTGATGAGCTGCTATTCGCATTCGAGATTCCTCAGAATCCAGGGCAAAATCCTTCCTGACTATTTGTTCACAAGTAGTCATGGCAATCTTAATTGATCGATCCACCACAGGATGGACCAACTCCTGAACAGCCCGTTCAATTGCTTGGCGCACACACTGCTTCAACTGTGGATGGGCCTGAAACAAGGGAATCTAGGAAGGGAAAAACAAGTCCAGTCAACAGCTTGTTTAAATAAGACAACCCAATTTCTATCAGTAAGCACACCCATGATTTTAGAATTACTTCAAAGTTAACCATTAACTACCAATTTCTACTTTAAAGTAATCAATAAAAAGCCCAGGAATCAAAAGTTGGGCTACAAAGAGGAAATAGCATTCAGCATACCTTGTGATGCAAGGTAACATATGTGTCTTTGATTTTTAAAAAGTTCTATTGTTCATTACAAGATACATTACCTACTTAAAGACACACTACTTGCTTAGTTCAAATATGTGACTCAAGTACTCTCCTCATAATAGCAAGAAATTTTGCATTATCATACACTGAAGCCTCTGCTTAAAAGATTTTCCAATCTTTTCTCTGCTAGAAACTATGCCCTAATACTCACTTGGTCTCTTTCTTTTTTAAGAAATCTTAAAAAATATTCATTAACACAAAAGTATTCGGATTACTGGGAGTAATACAAAGAGGAATCACAATTTCTAGATCTAGATTTTTCTTTCAAAAACTAAGTGCACATCCATACAAAATAAGAAATACCAGGTTAAAATGGTCTCTTTAAAATGTTTCCAAGTCCTTTAAATCCAAATGGTCAATGGATTAATAATGTTACTCCTGTATTTGTGGATATTTTCTAAAAAGCAAAGACCATAAAAACTCCAAGTATCTGATTCTAAACTAAACAAATGTTAAGCATAATGAAGAGCAGAAGATAATTATCACTCTGAATATAGACAGTAAAATGCAACCTTTAAATAAAGGACCGATGGGAAGTTATTTATAAAGTTAGTCCAGACTGCCTCCCAGAACCAGGGCACAGAAAAAAGAATGAAGTTACTTCTAGGCTTTAACCTAGAGATTTGTACACACAAATGAATCAGCTCAGTTCCAGCTCCTGACTACAAATGGTTTAATGCAAGGGTAAGGTGATATGCTAATGAAAATAGAGAGCAAAAAGCTATGGTATACACTGAGACCTTCTGGCCTGAGCCAAGGAACTCGTACAGATAGTGATTATACAGGGTGGGGCAAAAGTACATTTATATGGAAAAATACAATAATTAATAAATTGTTTTTGCGTACTCACAACTAGAAACCTATTTTTGCCCCACCCTGTATTGCCAGCTTTTTTTTTTTTTTTAACGTATTTTTATTGATTTCAGAGAGGAAGGGAGGCATCAATGATGAGAGAGAATCATTGATCGGCTGCCTCCTGCACACCTGCTACCAGGGATCAAGTATGCAACTCAGGCATGTATCCTAACGAGAATCGAACTGTGACCTCCTAGTTCACATGCTGATGCTCAACCACAGAGCAACACCAGCTGGGCACAGCTGTCTTGCGTTTTTGTTTTGTTTTAATGGCATCTAAGTGCATTTAATTTCATAAGTACTTAGCAAACAAGCTGTAGTCACTGCAAACATTCACAACTTCCTCCCATTTGAGACAGACTAGATGTTGAGTGGAAGAAAAATACCAAAGGCCAGATCTTCATTAATACTCACTTTTCCATCAGTCTCTTTATCAAAATAAAAACTCATACATTGGGTTGAGGGTCATGGATGGCTACAAATTTTTACCATCCTAATAGGGCAGGGGGTGCCTCTCTGGTTTGTATAGGGAGCCAGCTGTATTGATTTTAATCATGGATCTGGATATGCTGAACCAATTTAAATGATACCTAGTCCCAATGACTATTTTTAGAGTAGAAAACATCCCAGCTGTACTACACAGCAGTGCCCAATCTCTGCTCTCTGCACAAAAATCTACAACCTAGGAATCCAGGAGGAAAGGGAAAGGGGAAGGTAACCAGTGACACAAAGTAGAAGTTTGGGGATGGGATGGTGTTTACTTACTGTTGGGTTTAGAGTAATATGTGGTGCCAGGCCCGCAAGGGAATAGACATTGATGTCATGATAGCTGTACTGTGGCTGTGGTGGAACAGTGGCTGTGCAGGTGGTACTAGTAGCTGGTGTTGTAGAAGTTGCTAAAAGTAAAGAGACAAAATAAGAGCTAATAAAAAAAGCATGTTTCTTGACTTTACTATAAAATTAGCCGGGCATCAAGCAGCTTTTATTTCATTAAACTAATTGGATTAGAGGATGGTGGTATAGGGGAATGACAAAGGCCGCATCTTCCCCACCCTGAATTACCATGAGAAAAATTCTGTAATTTTAACAGAGATTTGAACAAAGTATGTAAAACTATGTGTGGCAGTACCTATAGCACAGAAAGCAATTAAGAGGTTATGCAGCATTAGCAGGCCTAAACCTTGGATTATTCCTTATTATAGATGTCTATTTTCAATCTCGGCTGTTCCCTGTTTTCACCTGGGAATTTTTAGCTACTGAGGGCTGAGAGAGAAAGAAAACCTGGTTTATTCTAACCATACCTCCCAATCATCTTTATTGCCCCAGCACTTATAATCGTCTTGACCTTCATAAAATAATCCAATCCCCTAGAAGGTCTACCTGGTCTGGTCATCCCCAGATCTGAGGAATAACACAGGCTGTCATGCCACTGACTTCTTTCTGAGACCTCACACAATATAAATAACCGGTTTAATTAATACCACCACATGAATTACTCAGATATACTCTAATATGGTACGACAATGTCTAAACATTGCAAAAATTTCTTAATAATTAGAATGCACACCAAAAAGTATACAAAAGTTCCAGCAACACATAATGTTGAACAATTATAACTTGCTATATGCATGAAAATGTACCATTTAAGAGAACATTCTGGCAAGTAAAGGGCAGCTAACCATTATCCTTACTTGTGGTTGTGATGGGAGGAAGTTCTTCTGGCTGCTTGACATCTTTCTTTGGAGCAGAGAGCTGCTCATCTAAGTTCTTTAGGCGATCTTTGTCCTTTAGGAGGTTTCCAGGTTTTAGCTCGTTGATGTCTAATGCAAGGTTCTTGCAGAGGACCTCAATCTCAAACTTCAAGTTTAACTGCATAATTCCAATAATCGATTAGAATTTTAAAAATAACATTTTAGCTTTATTCATAACATAAATGATTTACTGGATTGTTACAATGCCTTCCCCCCAATACCCTACCTCTCCTATAAATTTTAATAATGTGAAACCAGAGAATGTTCCAAAGGATAAAGAAGCAACAAATTTACCTTTAAGTCGTGTTCCTGATGTAGCTCAGCTAATACATTCATAATTGCCATTGTCCAGGGGTTGGGTGGCCTAAAAACCTAAAGAAAATCTATTATGTTAAACTGGACCCCACATCACTTCAATTTGTATTTTTAAAATAGTTAAGCATGTATATTTATGTAGCTATAAGTATAAGTGCTCCCACAAAACCCCTAGCCTTGTACATAAAATTTCAGAAAAACACCAAAACTCAAAGCCACCTATTAGATATCAGTCCTTTAATTTACTAAGCCTCTCTCATTAGAAATACAACTTTATCTGAGGAATACTGATTGAACTAGCGCTGTTCATAAGAACTAAGGACATAATTTCTTAACCTTGTGCTGAAATTAACTCTTACAATTTAGCCATTAATAAAATATTAAAATCTACTCACCACGCTACGAATGCTCGACTCTAAAACTTTGGCAACGAAGGGCACCACATAGAGCAATTCTTGCTGTCCTTTAACATAAGCCTCTAGCAGCAAAGACTTGACATCCAAGTCCTAGGGGGGGAGAAATAGTATTTTTTAAAAGCTAAGAATATACTTCAAAACTCTTCACAAAGACACTGTGCCAAACTTATCCCCAAAAGAGAAATCAAAATAATATTTGACTTTTGCCTTACAAAAAAAAGAAAGGAGTGGCAATCATAACTTACTGGCTTCTGTGCATCCTGATAAATGATGTGGGGCCATGAGCATGCAATTAGGGATTCAAAACATGGACCAAACTCTTACAAGTACCCATTCATTAAAATAGCCCCAAATAAAGACTTTTAGACATAATAGCTATATGAACATTCTCAAATTTTACATGAACTTTTAGCTGGAACTCACAGTATGTAAGATGGGTTTATTTTTAGCTAGTGTGATCATTCCTAGCCAGTGTCCCAAGTTCTTCAGCAAAGAGCGATCTGAAAAATTGGCTGCAGCTTTATCAGAGGTCAAGAGCACCTGGGGG